GTAGCACGTGTCGCCTTCTCCTGGTATTCAATCGTTGAAGCAAATCCACTAGATTTCAGTGCGTTCTGGTATAACGGCGCCGCCCCGTCAAACGTCTGCTGATCGGCCGATATATCTGACACTCTCCGCTCAATCGCCTTAGGGAGGTTTCTCAGCACCATTGGGGATGGTTCGACCTCGTGCTTAAATACAGTGGTGTGTTGTTCGGCTTTCGGAATGACTTGTACTTTCCAGTGTCAAGATTCAACGTGACATCTAGGAAGTCCACCACTCTCATGTTCACGTCGATCGTTATTATCAGGCCATGTTGTTGGAATACAGTAGCTATGGTCTTTCTGAGACGATCAGCAGCACTGCCCGACATACCGCGTACGACAGCCAATCCGTCATCGCGATAAAGGCCAACTGAGCTCTGGTCTATGTGCTGGCTCAGCTCAGAGAGGAGAATGGCGCCAACCAGCTCGCACACCTCGGCGCCATCGAAAGACCCCATAGTCACATCAAACGCACTGTTCTTTGTCTTTACCCACTGCCTCTCGCCGCAGAATAGCAGGGATTTTCTCGAGTGCATGATAGCGTCTTCCCCGCTGGTCTCCATATCCATCAAATAGTTTGCAGTCTGTTCAGCAATAGAAAGGCCGTAATGTTGATTGGTTTGCAAACGTGTGTGACTCACTGCGAGTAGACTGCATAGAGGCTATAGGACAGTTGAGGAAAACGTCAAAACCTGTGTTTGTGTGTGTGTGTGTGTATATATATGTGTGTGTGTGTGTGTGCGCGCGCGCGTGTGTGTGTGTATGCGTCTGTACGTGTTGTATCCTCACCAGATATCCAGCAGCGGGTACATATCACTGCCCGTTCCCATCGGGCAGATACCAGACAGCGGCTCACTGACTCAACAGATAAGCAATCCCGTCCTGGCGCCGCTGTGGTCGTCAAACGACCCACGCTTCGGGCGCGTCCACTATCAGATTTACGACGCCTCGCGTCTACGCACGGATCTGAACCTCACTCTGTCGGAGGACATCGTCGGCAGTGGGTTCTCTCCGGAGCTAGCTCTCAAGGTCACGTGGACAAACATGCGTGCGTTCCCAGCCGGTCCGCATGCCGTACGACAGGGTCTCTCAGACCTGGGAGTAAGTCATTGTGAAGCAGCATGATGAAGGGATCCTGCCTTTTTTGTTTTTGTTTCACTGGGAACACAGCTCTACAAAGAGACATGTGGAGACAAACACAAAACAAGACACAGGGGATGTAGGGACGACGTGCCCTAACCCTTTGAGGCCCATAGTACGGATATATCCGTACCAGTGTACAGTGCATACTTTTCAAAGCGCAACCTGGCGTAACTCGGCTGTCCCTTGACCAAATCGGACAATCGAAAAGGCTATCGACATTAGAATTGTCTCAGCTATCGGCTCGAAAAAACCCGAAGGCGATCCGAGGTCGGAGAGCGGAGATACGAGACTCGAACTAAATTCGCTCAGCAGAGTCAACTCGAGCGCATGCATTTTGAACTAGTTTTTAGGGGTTTTCCCTGACTCGCGGCCCACGCAGCTACAGATAGTTCACGTCATCGCAAAGGCATGTTTCTCAGCTCTCCAGTAAAAAAAATTGAGCGATCTGCGATACAATTTGTTGAAATGGCAGAGAATTTGAGATGGGCGCTCGCAATGCTGGCTTTGGAGCGCCGTATCGCGCTGCGGCGCTGGTTCTGAGTGATGGATTGCTGGCTATCGCTGTGTTCCTCTGGCCAAGAGCTTTCCAGAAAGCCCAAGATCACCAAAATCGGCCAAAGGACACCAAAGTTACGACCAGATAAGTAACTGGGTTCGCGTATGCAGTGCATTTCTTGAAATAATTGTGGGCCCTAAAGGGTTAAAGACATTTCAAGAACACCTTGACAACAGTGCATTTCAAAACTATAGACGCGTAGGGTTTTTGAAATATTTCAAATTTGGCTGGAACCTTTTGAGAATAGTTTTCGGGATATTGCTCAGGATCGCTCCACAATTACTCTCATATAGTTTCTAAAGGATTGGATAACAGACGCCCAATTTGGAAAAATTTATGCACAAAGTGATCACAGATTTTATGTGGTATAGATGCTGGCATAACGGTTTTTGCCTAGATACGCGTCTATAGTTTTGAAATGGACTGTACATCTGTATCTGCAGTCATACCGATGTAGCAGTTGATGTGTGTGCCTATATGCACCAGTATTTATCTTTTGCTCTGATTTGCTCAGCAATGTGTTGGCACGGGTGGGTGTGCTTTATACTTGAGAAGTCATGCATCCAATTCCTAAACAAAGTGACAACGACTACAGACTGACAAGACATTGACTGAAGAATTGGGCTGCAATGCGTGCACGCACATGCAAATGTGTATGTGTGTGTGTGTGTGTGTGTGTGTGTGTGTGTGTGTGCGCGTGTGTGTGTGTGTGTGCGTGTGTGTGCGTGTGTGTGTGTGTGCGCGTGTGTGCGCGGGTGTGCACGTGTGTGCGTGTGTGCGCACGTGTGTGTGTGTGTGCGTGTGTGTGTATATGTATATATATATACTCAATCTGCGGACAGAACTGTTTCGTCCTTTGTGGACTCGTCAGCGCAGCACAGAGGAAATGAGGCCGAACCTGATAGCAATGGAAATAAAAATTTCCAATCAGGCCCGAACGTACCTTGCCAGAGTGCTCAAACTGACAAGTCAGTGAGCTCTGCATATATATATATATATGTGTGTGTGTGTGTGTATGTGTGTGCACTTCAAATAGCTGTATGGTGTAGACCAGGCTGAATAGTGACGGTCAATTCTTCAGCCTTGCAAGCTGTTGAATGGTGCAATCCCAGCACAAGTTGCTATGGCTTCTGCCGTAGCATTGCTATCATCGCCTCCGGCGATGGGCTTCAAAGGTCAAAGGCATATGGGTGCGTGTGTGCGTGTGTGTGTTTGTGCGTGCGTGTGTGTGTGTGTGTGTGTGTGTGTGTGTGTGTGTGTGTGTGTGTGTGTGTGTGTATGCTTGCATGCGTGCGTGCGTGTGTGCACACGTATGTATATACGTGCACGTGTGTTTGCAGAGCAACAGTTTTCAAGCAGTGATCGTGTGGGACAGCTGCGTGTCCGTGGCCATGATTAGCTACGGCGGGGTAGACTGGCGCATCGGTCACCAAGGCGACCAGAGCATCATCGACATATGGGACGGCGAGCGGCTGGTCAACGTCAACGCCAACACGAACAGCGCCCAGACGATCACCATGGCAATGACGCGGGCATGCAGCGGGCAGCTGGCGGCGGACAGGCAGTGTCGACGTGACGCCCAGCAGCTGCCGATCCTGCCAATCACGCTGCGCCAGTTCTTCTCAGTCAACTGCCCGCCGTCCGACTTCTCTTTCAGGCTCGGTGCTTTCCACACGGACTTCTTCATCGACACCAACGGCCATTCCTGCTATGTACGGGAAGCTCAGTTCTTCCAATCGTTCACGACGGTAAGCTTCCAGTCATTCTACTTCAGAGCAAAAGTTAACGCTTTGACCTCATCGCACATACAAACATGCTGTCTTGGAGATAGCAAATTCTGAAGTTGCACACACTGTTCAATGTACAACGACTCCGCACTGCCATGTCGCTGGGATGCTTTGCTGGTGTAGTGTGCATGCACCGTCGGAAATGAGGACATTGGCGAATGACTGAAGGCTTATTCTGCCTTCTCAACCCCGTCTTGTTGAGAAGATGGCCAAACCAATACAGCGAAACCTGTCTAAGACGACCGCTCAAGGGACCTTCAAGCCTGGTCTCTGTTACCAGGCGGTCACCGTATCTAGGGTCATTCGACTGGAAATAGCATTCCTTGGTGCTGGTTTCAGTGGTCTTCTAGGACACGTGGTCGCCTTATCCGAGTGGTCGCCTTGACATGTTTGACTGTAGCTAAGTTATTAGTGGTTAGAGCAGAGATAGAACATTCCACAGATTCCTGGTTTGAGTGATGCCCGTCGCCGCCAATCTTCCCACTCCGGTTTTCACAACTCGCACAAATGTATGCAGGGACTTCGGAAGGTATTTTACGGTGGTACGGTCAGCCACCTGAAGTCAAATTTGCTCATGGGGCTGGGGTGGCTCCTCTGCAAAATTTCGATATTTTGAGCCTAGATCATCAGTGCTCTATTTTCACTCGCAGGGTCCCCGGGACAAAGAGTGGCATGGACAACACCATAGTGACTGCAGCGTGTGTGACGCCCCTGCTATGAATACTGAACAGTGTGCTGCATTTTACGTTTTTCGGCTTCTCCTCCCTCTCTCTCTCTCTCACACACACACACACACACACACACCTTTGAACCTTTGGAAAGCCCATCGCCGAAGGCGATGATAGCTATTAGGCGAGGCAGTAGTTCTTGTGTCGGGATAAATCATTCGGATCTCACACACACACACACACGCACACGCGCACACACACACACACACACACACACACACACACACACACACACACACACACACACACACACACACACACACTCTCTCTATCTCTCTCTCTCTCCCCTCTCTCTCTCTCTCCCCCCTCTCTCTCTCTCTCCCCCCCCCCCTCTCTCTCTCTCTCTCTCTCTCTCTCTCTCTCTCTCTCTCTCTCTCTCTCTCTCTCTCTCTCTCTCTCTCTCTCTCTCTCTCTCTCTCTCTCTCTCTCTCTCTCTCTCTCTCTCTCTCTCTCACACACACACACACACACACACACACACACACACATACACACACTCTCTCTCACTCTCACCCACTTTCTCTCCCACACACAGACGTGCTGCTATCAGCCGGAGCTCAGCTCCCTGGTGCTGGAGAGTGAGGGAGGCAGTTGGCTGTCTCCACGCAGCGCCACACCAGCCCAGCACGCTGTGGAGGTCAGCACTCGCGACAACTGCTGCGCGGCCGGAACGTGCGCTCGTTTCTTCCTCGCTCGGCCCTCGCCATCCTGGTTCAGTTTCCCGCCGTTCATACTCGGTAAGCTCTGCTCTTGCATCATGGGAATCTGGACCTAATTGGCAACATTCTTTGCAATTATACTACTGATAAAACAACTGGTGCTGGTGCTCGGCTGCTAATTGAAATCCGGTGAAGCGATTGTGAGTGCCATGTTAATGCCATGTGAATGCCATGCACAACATGAAACTTAGGGTTGCAACAAATTGCCTTGTCACCTTTTGCTCCGTGTAAAGCCTTCTGGTATGTAGAACATGTTCCTCTCTGCTCTCGCTGTCTCTCTCTCTCTCTCTCTCTCTCTTTCTCTCTCTCTCTCTCTCTCTCTCTCTCTCTCTCTCTCTCTCTCTCTCTCTCTCTCTCTCTCTCGCATTCCAGCCTGGCTGTTTGGTGACCCACATCTCCGTACACTGGACGGCATAGGATACACGTTCAACGGGTGGGGCGAGTACCGGCTGATATCGGCGTGGCACGACAACAGCAAGACGACAGTGGTGGTGCAGGGTCGCACCAGCGTACTGCCCAATACTACTGCCACTGTGTTGACACATGCTGCAACCGGTATCTACAATGAAAACTCCAGTAAGTACACAGGGCTGAAATCACTTTTAAAAAAACCGCTCACAGCTTGCTGAACATTTGCTGTGACCAGTCTTTTCCTGCCAGGCTGAGCTCTACACCGTATGTTTGAGGCTCTTCACAATCTACATTTTCAAAACTATTTTCCATTAGTACTTTCACTGTCTTAACCTTTTCACTGCCACTGTCGACTTTTGTCGACGTGTCAACATGTACTTCTGAGTGCTGCTGTCGACCCCAACCCCAGGCCCAGGCATGGGCCGAAGTGACTGTTGGCCAAGATAGGACCGACACTAGGTGGCTGCCTGATTTGGTTGAGAAGGAACCACGCCCAACATTTCAGATGGACGACCCAGTGACATGTACGCCAGTGGACACATTTGATGAATTCTTCACCGAAACGGTTGTGCATAACGTGGTTGTAGAAACCAATCGGCATGCTCACCAGCGCTTGGAGCGGCTCGGTGACCATTGTCCGCAAGCACGTATCCGGCAGTGGTAAAACGTCACTAGGGACGGGACCTTTGTGTTCGTGCTGTTGATCCTGGCAATGGGTACTGTACAACAACCGGAAATGACCGACCACTGGTCTGAGCACTGGCTGCTGGGGACATTAGGATTCGCGCGAAGGTGATGAGCAGCAATCGCTTCCAGTTGCTGGCACTGTGCCTTCATTTTGTTGACAACAGCTCTGTACAGCGCGACCAAAATGGTATGTGCAAGGACAAGCTATTCAAGATACGAAAATTCATCGACCGTATAGTAGAGAGTTTCCGAACCAAGTACACGCCACGGAAATGCGTGTTGATCGACGAGCAAATGGTGGCCTACAAAGGCCGCCTTAGTTTCAAACAGTACATGCCAGCGAAGCCAATCAAGTGGGGCATGAAAGCATATGTTCTAGCTGAAGCAGACACCGGGTCCATTTGTGACTGGCATCTATACACAGGGAAAGACGATTCGGATTTACAATCAGCCGACACAGCCAATGGAACGCAAGTAGTGATACGTCTGATCAAGAATTTGCAACCAGAACATATCATCTACACCGACAACTATTACACATCGCCTGATCTATTCACAACACTACGGAACAAGAAACTTGGAGCAGTGGGCACAGTCAGTGGGCACAGTCAGATCCAATAGAAGAGGCTTACCTGCACAGATGAAGAAAAAGATGAAAAAGACAGATCCAACACGGCACTGGCAGCAAGGTTCACAACTCGCAGTCGCCTGGTTCCACAAGAAACAAGTGAACATGCTATCGACAATCCACGAAGCGAAAATGCTCGACATAGCTATTTGGGACCGGCACAGCGTAGGCGGACACAGACACGTAAAGAAGCCGGAATGTGTAGACTGGTACCTCTCCATCTTTCACCAGCTGACGGAAATCGGCGTGACGAATGTGCGCGTCGTGTTCGCCAGCATCACCGGCAACGACATGCCTCTCCTGGAGTTTAGGAGAAAGCTTCTAGATAGCCTTCTCCAAAGGGCCCAGTGGCCGCTCGGCAATCCAAGATCCACGCTAACGGCAGCGCAAGCAGCAGCTGTTCATCCGTACGTCCGCCTGAACGAACGCCACTTCGCGCAGCAGTATCCTGACGGAGGCAAACCCGACTGCGTAGTCTGCAGCGACAGAACCAAAGGTCGGCGCAAGCAAATGTCCTGGCGCTGCGGAGACTGCGAAATACCGATGTGTCCAGGCCTCTGCTTCAAGCGGTACCACACTCGGGTTCACTACAAGATTGTTTATTCCGACTAAAACAACAACTGTGTTTCTCCCTCGCTGCAAAACAAATGCATCACGACGCTGTTTTTTTGTGTGTTTTTGCTGTCGTACGCACTTGATTTGGCGCGTGCGCATACCGCAAGCATATCTGAAACTCTGCTTTTTACAGCTGCCGTATCAACTTCATCTGTACATTCTCTATCTAAAGTTTATACAGTAAGACCTGTAACTAAAGACCACCGTGACTAGCGACCAGCCTGGTACTACCGACCACTTCGCCAGGCACGGACGGACGGTCTCACATTCAAAATGCACTGTGACTAGCGACTACCTGCTGAACGCCACCAGCGACTGACTTTTCTTGTCCCAAAGACGATTTTTGACCCGTAACTAGCGACCGCGATGCAGGAAATCGCAATGTTGCAGGAAGCTCCTTCTTGAAATTTTGCTGATTTTCCATAGTCCTGAAAGGTATCTTTCGATACTACAGCTGAAGAAATGAACGGAGGTCATTTTGACTGTGGCGCCGGTGTGGACTGCACTACACCTGTCAGAATTTCAAGCGCTGTAAAGAATAAACATGTTAGGAAGCGTCTTGGAGAGCGCATCGAAAGCGCTCTCTGATCGATGTTACTACTCAGAGGAGAAACGAAGACTGAGCGGCTCTGTCACCCCAGTCATACAGACGAATCGACGATGGCATCAAGGAATCCAGAAACAAAGCATCACCACAAGGTCCTGATGCTGAAGGATCGCGTTCAAGCAATCGAGAAGTCACACCAAGAACAGTCAGTGCGATTGACCCCATGAACAAATTTGAAGCACGGCACAAAACGAAACTTCCACAGGGAACGTTTGACTCCTGGCTTCAGAACTAGCAGCTGAATTTGATGTCTGCAAAAAAATTAATCTTCTCTCTCTCTCTCTCTCTCTCTCTCTCTCTCTCTCTCTCTCTCTCTCTCTCTCTCTCCCTCTCTGTCTTTCTCTCCAAGTGTTGTTTGACCTGAAATAAGAATGGCATTGTGCAAGTCCTGGGGAGTTGTATTAGCTGCATTTTGATATACATATCATATAATGGGATCCATATTATGGTCGCGCGGTGCAAACCTCTAATTTAAGACCACCTGCTATTAAATACCGCTTTTGCTGGCAACAAGGGGTGGTCGGTAGTCACAGGTTTTACTCTTCTTCATTCAGCTCTATTCCGAAGATAAAATAGCAAAAAAACTGGCTGAAATTGGTCGGTGAATTTTGTGGACTGGAGGTAAAAAGTTCCTGCCAGGGGGTGCCTTGTCACCTCAAGTGGTCAGTTGGCAGTGAAAGGGTTAACCATCGGATGGAACACAGGGATAAATATAGTAAAACCTGGTTTAAGCGACCACCCCACGGTCCCCTCCTATGTTATCATATCAGTTAGAACCAAGTTGGAAGGCTGTTGGAGTGCACATCCAAGATGTGCTAGAGCTGTTAGCCAGTTAGTTGTAGAACGTCAGTACCGTCGGTCAGTGTCGTGCAATGTTATCGCATGGGCTGATTGTTTAGTAACTGGTGGTGTTAGTGGACATTGTAGCGTAACTTGTAGTTCCTTGGCTCTCTTTTCTTTGTATAATGGGAACAATGCTGTTATACAGTAGAGATGTGAAAGAAATAGTGCAAAGAAGACTAGCCAGTAAAACAAGTGTACTTGTACGTGCGTGTGTGTGTGTGTGTGTGTGTGTGTGTGTGTGTGTGTGTGTGTGTGTGTGTGTGTGTCACTGTGTGTGTGTGTGTGTGTGTGTGTATGTGTGTGTGTGTGTGTGTGTCACTGTGTGTGCGTGTGTGCGTGCGTGTGTGTGTGCTTTGTTGGTCTAGCTCTATTGTCCCGTGTCATGGTCAGTGCCACGCCAACAGGGATGACCTTCTTGCTGGACGGCTCACAAAACATCACCTCCGACGTTCTTGATTTGGGATCCACAAACGTCACCTTGTATCGGGTTGGTGCACTGATCCACATGTACTGCACATTGAAAACCTTATTCAATATCTCACCTGCAATGTTCACCCATAATATATGGATGGGACACCCATGAAATCTGGCATGAAATGTGTGTGTTGTCTTTTTGTAACTCTATGACCTTTCACAGTCATGTGACTGTCACGTGACTGTCATGTGACTGTCACTGTCATGTGACTGTCATGTGACTGTCATGTGACTGTCATGTGACTGTCACATGACTGCCTGGTGAGTGGTGACTGTGTGGTAGGCCCAGACAGATTCTGCTCCGCTCGCCTCGATATTTTGCCACAGAATGTTGCTGCGAAATCTTTGATATTTTGCCGAGCCTGGCACAAGAAACTCGATATTTTGCTCCATTTTGCTCCGGAAAAACGTGTATTTTATCCACTTCCCGTACAATCCCGTACAACATTTCATAAAAATCGCAGGGTCGGTTTCTCAACACGGGTTTCCACGCACGTGTCCCTGATTCTTCCAAAATCATGTCGATCCACAGTGGATCCCATTGATATTTTGGTGACATGATCTTGTCCTGGGCATTGTACCCTGCTGAACGGGTAAGAAACAAGGACATCCAAGTATCAGGCATCAATTTTACCCAGCATCTTGATATTTTGCCCCGATTTTGCCGGCAATTTCCGCCCTTTCAATTCTTCGATATTTTGCCGAAAGAACTGCCGGCAGGATCTGTCTGGGCCTACTGTGTGGTGCCTGTCACGTGACTGTGTGGT